GTTTTAAGTCTCTAAGCTTGACTCCTCACACTCATTAGGCTTAGGGTGGTTTGCAGAGAGGAAACGAGGTCTCCTCTTCTTCTTCAGTAGATGCATCGTCAAACTCAGCATGCTCTTCTGATAGGTCTGCAGTTGGGTACTCAGTGGCCATGTCCTTGAAGAAACCTTCTTTTTGATCAGGAGGATGGTCTTCTTCTCTAGACCATTTCAATGTGAATTCACATCCTTCTTTGCTTACCATAGTAGTGGCTCCATCATTTTGGACGTCCTTGATGTTGAGTGGCACTTGGTTGGCTTTTCCATGGAGCTCCTTGATTTGATCCTTCAGCTCTTTCACAATATCTACTAACTCCCTTATGGTTTTGTCCTGCCATTTGGACCTCTCCTTGAGCTCTAACCAGCCATCTGGCGCGGAGTTGCTAGACTCTAGCAGCTTGTCAAGATGTTTGATCGAGCTAGAGTTCCCAGACTAGTTGAAGGCTTGCTCAAGTGTATACTCGAGTCAGTTGGTTGAACATGTGTTGAGCTTGCTTCATATGCTGCCTTACCCACTGTTTCTGACTCAAACAAGTCTTTTAAGACCTCTGACCCTGCTACTTCCTTGTGTGAATCTAATGACCTACCACAACTCAAGGTTTCAGTGAGAAGATATCCTGCTTCACCATTCTTAGTCAAAGAAGTGTGTTGGTGATCTTCCTCAGCAACCTCCTCTAGCAGTTCATCAGCTAGGCGATCCATTATCTTTACTAAGAAGGTTTGTCCTTCAATTGTTGGCTTTCTCGTGGCGTCATTGATGTCAAACTTCATTTTGAAATCATTTCCCAGATTAAGATCAATCTTCCCATCCTTAACATCAATGATAGCTCCAGCAGTGGCTAAGAAGGGTCTTCCTAAGATTAAAGGATCTTTTGGTTCTGCATCCATTTCTAGCACTATGAAGTCTGTGGGGATTTCAACATTTCCAATCTTAATAGGCAAATCTTCTAATAACCCATGCGGTAGTCTGATAGATTCATCAGCCAGGATCAAGGAGATGTTGCAAGGTTTATACTTGCTGAAACCTAGTCTCTTGGCCACGGAGAGAGGCATGAGACTTATAAAAGCACCTAGATCACATAGGCAGTTACTGAAGGCCAAAGGACCTAGAGAGCAAGGTAAGGTAAATGAACCAGGATCTCCCAATTTCTTGGGAATAATCTTCGTTTGGATGATTTCACTGCACGCATGACTCTCCATAACCATCCCTTGCACTTCCTTTATTCTCTCTATGATCAAGTCTTTCAGAAACTTGTGGGAATCCGGAATAAGTGCGAGAGCATCAACAAGAGGTATCCTCAATTCAACTTCTCTGATGTTCTTGGCAAACATAGCTCTGTACTTATCTGCCAACACTTTCTTGTGACGACCAGGAAATGGAAGTGGGGGTTTGTAAGGAGGAGGAACAAAAACCTTCTTCTTGTTTTTAGCAGCAACTGGTTGAAGAGCAGTGGGTGATGTTACTGGAATTGGTGATCGAGTAACATGGTCGAGTGGAGGGTCGAGTACTTCTGTTGGCTTGTCAGCTTGATCTTCATTGAGACTGAAATCCTCCCCAACTTGGTCTGCACTGTCCTCAGTGACCGGTGCGGGGCTAGGTCGAGCTTGCAGCTCTCGACCACTGCGAAGGCGAATGGCATTAACATATTCCTTCGGATTCTGAATTGCTTTCCCTGGGAGTTGCCCTGGAGGTTTTGGAGTAGAAATAGATGCAGATTGTCCCTCTAAGTATCGGACTTTGGAATTCAATGCCTCTACTTTGACATTCAGGTCATTGTAGCTACAGTCCAGCTTATTGTGTAATTCAGATATCTTCTTAGCAATCTCCATGGAGCCAGATGCTTGTCCTTGGAGAAGCTGTTGTAGCATTTGCTTCATGTCAGAATCATGAGCAGCAGGACCTTGGTGTTGCTGAGGTGCAAACCCAGGTGGTGGTTGCTGCTGGTAGTTCCCCTGAAATTGTTGCTTGGGAGCAAAACCTTGGTTGTAGGGAACAAAAGGTTTATTCTGACCCTGCTGTTGTTGTGGAGGATACACTTGATCCTGTGGATTAGCAACATTGGTGCTGCGGTAAGAAAGGTTGGGGTTGTTAGTCTTGAAGTTGTTATACCCTTTGTAGCCGCCTTGATTGTTGATGTAGCTGACCTCTTCTAACTGGTTCCCCTCCCCATCTTGGACTTGATACTGCTCGTCATCAAGTAGAAAGTGCACATTCTTCTGCTGGCCAAGGATAAGCCTATCCAGTTTCTCATTAAGAGCTTTCATCTCTTTACTATGCTTTGCATCCGATTCTTCAATACCTCTGTTGGAGCGATCAAAATCCTCGTTATAATTACCATCGGATTGAGCTAAGTTCTCAATTAATTCCCAGCCGTCTTCAACATCCTTATTCAAGAAATTCCCATTAGAAGCAGTATCCAGCAACATTCTGATCTTGGGCAGAACTCCCCTGTAAAGTGTGCTTAGTAGAGAAGCCTTCTTGAAACCATGGTGTGGACACTGTATAGTGTAGCCTTTGAATCTCTCCCAGGCTTCACAAATGGATTCAGACGGCTTTTGGGTAAAACTGGAGATTTCATTCCTAAGCCTTGCAGTTCTTGAATTTGAGAAGAACTTTGTTAAGAAGGCCTTCTTGCAATCGTCCCAAGATGTGATGGAGCCAGCAGGTAATGTCTTTTCCCATTGGTGTGCTTTGTCTCCCAATGAGAAGGGAAACAGGCGCAGCTTGAAACT